GGTGCAGCTCTACTGCCGGATGTGCCGCCAGGCGGGGTGCGGGCAGTGCGTCTCTGAGGAGCACCAAGGCATCTTCCACTCCGTCAACCTCATAGACACTGTGTACCAGGAGGAAAAAGTAAGCGCGACGCTTCCCCTCTGCACCGGGGGTCCGGCTGGGAGGTCGGGTTGTCCCACGGAAGATCCCACCGGGTCGGGGTTGCTTTTACTCAGAAACGCAGGGAAAAACGCTGTGTGGTGGGCAGGCGAGAGGCAGCGAGGGAGTGTGCTGCTTTGAACCAGGAGTCGGGATTTGTTTGTGGACTACCGGGATGTGTCTTCCTTTGCTGCCGTCAGACGTCATCCACCTCGTACAGGGGACCAGGCGATATTACAGTATGAACAGATCTGAACCCAACTTACTAAAGCAAGCACCTGAAGAGTTGGGGGTTTTGGCTTTGGGTTTGTGGTGTTTTTTTTTTTTGTTGTGGGTTGTTTTTTTTTGGAATACAGAGACTTGCAGTCTTGGCTGGAAAAAAAACACTGATGCTAAGATTTTATTGCGTGTCTGGATCCAGTTTTTCCAAGTTCAGGAAGATGTTAGTCCTACTAACAAAACAGGAAAAAAAAAAAAACACTCACAGATACTTTTTTTATAGGCTCTCTGAGCTAGCATAGGTAATGGATAATTACATATTTAGAAATAGATGGTTTAGGTAAGTAATAATTTAATAAATGTAAAACCAAAATGCATTCCTGTTTGCATGAAGAAAGCAACTGCCTGGCCTAATGATTGGTTGGCTAGTCGTAGTGGTAGTAGTTGTGATTTTTGCCAAAAGAACTACCATTTGAGTAGAACAAGCTTTTCGTGCCCTGTGCAAATTGGGTGCAGGATGGCATGTCATACAGCAGTTCTGCTGTGCAGTAATTAAAACAACTGCAGGGCGGTGATGAAGAGCATATGTATAAAAGTTTAAGTACCGCACTGACTATTCTTTAAGTCAAAAGATGCTTTTGCACTGATTTCCCTCCTGCCTCTCCCATCACCAATTGTGTGTCACTTGGGAAACCAGGGGCACTAGATTTTCTGTGTAAAACTTTGTGATAATGTAGTAAGATAAAGGAGGAAAAAACAGTGATAATCTTAGTTTAAAACCAAACAGAAATAACTCTTGTTATGGACAGCTTTCTCTTTTATCAGTGTGATGCATTGAAAATAAGTGAATATCATTCAGTTGCTTGTCAAACCGGAATAACAGCATTAAAACTTATGTTGTGATAGATGTGGGGGTGAGGGGAGAGGTTAAAAAGAAGACTGAGAGAAACAATGCTTTACCTATAAAGTAATGCTGTAGCCATTCTAGCAATATGCATTGTGGGTGAGCCTAAAAACATTAATTTTTTTTTTAATAGCAAAAATCTATGTACTGGAAATGCATTTATGTCCAGGAAAGCATTAAATGTTGTTCATTGATGTTTTGAATCGCAACCTTTGTTTAATGTGTTGTACAGTACATCCCATGATATGATTCTGGGTAACGGCTGAAATGTGTTTATTTTATGGAGTGGATAAAGTCATGATAAGTGTTTCAATTGTCTTGCAGTTAACCTTCTTCAGCAGTCTAAAGAAAATGAGAGTAATAAACGAGAAGCTGACGAATGAAATCTCAAGTCAACCAAATGATACAGATGTGAGTTACAGATGCTGGATGGTTTTGTGTGTGTGTCTTTGTTTTCATGGTAGGTTAACCACAACATGGAGCATCCTGGTGCTTCTTGTGGCATAGGTGTACTCTGAGCTTAGTTAGGGATGTGACTCCACGTAGACGTTGCTACTGCACTTTCATCTGTTTTTATGCTCTTGTGCTTCTAGATGGTGTTTAATAACGATGCAGAGATAATTGCACTGGAATTTGGAGAAATATTCAAAACTCTGGAAATGAAGAAACGGCAATTGCTAGAAGATGTTGAGAATCAAAGAAGTAAGAAAGAGAAAGAATTTCAGATTTGGAAGAAAATGAAGGAAACTCATAAGAAGACCATTGAGAACTTTTTGAAGGATTGTGAAAACCTTGTCCATGAGTGTGATCCTCAGCGTTTCCTGGAGGTGATAACCTTTCTGTTATTGGTATCAATTGTATAATGAACCTCAAATGTCATATAGAGCCTGCTATATTGTAGGTCATGATCATGACTGAATCAGGAAAAACAAATTCAACAAATGAAAAATGCAGACTAAAATTATTTAACATTTCATACTTCTTTTATAACAGTGCTTTCCATTTTAGAAAAGTTTGAAAAGCTTTTTTTGCTGCTTACCAGTGATAGTGAATTCAGTAGACACTTTTCTTCACTGAAAACTGATGAAATTAATATTGGCTATTGCTGTAACACTTGCTATATTATGCTACCAGCTGTGAAAGGAGCTGCCATGGTGCTGGGTGAGGAGTTACTTAATAGTACTGCCTTCAAAATTGACTCGCGTTCATTTGCTTTTTCATGTTTATTTTGAAATGCCTTGTGTGTTGAGAACTTCCATTGCATTTTTAAACTTGTGAGGCATTAAAAATGCTTTTTGTGGAAAGACTGGAGCCAGAACCAATAACTTATTATACCTGCGCTAAGGTGATGATGCTGATTCTAAAACCTGCTGTAAACTTTGCGCCGAGGTACGATAGCTTAGGTACTTCCTACGTACGCCGTACTGTGTAGTATACGCACTTCTGTATACAAGACCCTGACAGCCTTCCTCATGGTGTTTAAAGGAACTGCAGACAAAAAAACACTGTTTCTGGTTTAGAGATAAAGGCTAGAGGAACTCAAGACACCATCTTAGTCTTTGCTGTTACCTAAGCTGGTGTAGATCTTTTCGTCTTGTTTATGTCAAACACTGTGGCTGCAGTTGTATGGAATTTAGGCAGACAGTAGATATGGGGCAAAATGCTTAAATAACTACTGAATTTTGTGTTTTCTTTAACTTTGAGGTTTATGTTTTCTTAAGAAACCAAAGCATATTACTGTCTTCTGCCTTGAGATTAACGAGAGGCTAAGAAAGTACTTAAAGTTTGACTAAGTTTCTGGTAACAACTCGTTAAGGAAAATTTTACTTCCACCCAAACTAAAAGCGACTCCCACTTTTGGAAGAAATATTCTGATTCCAGTGATAAGTATGCTTTAAACTTAGCACCTTCCTGCCTGTCGCCTGTAGCAGCACGCAACTCATTTCAGTGAGATGGTTTTTCTTGTTGTTGTTTTAAGATTCAGTACAATGAGATCACCAGGTTTTTATAGGGAAACAGCTAGTCTGTAGTCAGTTTTTTTACTTTTTGTTACCCGTTCTTTGGGAAGTCACTTGACTACAGCTCAGTATGCTTCGTACTGCCATTACCTGGCTGACTTAAAACTGAAAGACAGCTTTTTTTAATCTCGGTGTAATAGCATCTTGAGAGCAGGTAGCAGAGGCTTCTGTCACTAAGAAATAGAAAATAGTCTTTCATTTGAATGAAATTTTGTCATTAACACAAAATATTACAAGGTAAGTCATTGTCCCAGACGTTTGTTTTTTTTAGATTTGGCTGCTCTTTTTTTTTTTTCTTGGAATGTTAACAAGTTTATTTCCTATAGTTCTGTGAAAGAAAGACGGGGAGTTTAGTCTCTGAAGTATTTTGATAAAACAATCTTTTGAGAGTTGGAGGAAAACTCATTCCTATCTTACGAATTCTTTTTTTATTTATAGGTGGCCTGTGGCTTGAATACAAGGTATATATACTATTTTTTTTTACACTTCGTTAGTTCTCTAGTGTAATTTTAGGATTAAAAACTAAGAAAATACTGATTTTTGGGTATGGTCAGATGTAGCAACTTAAAATGAAAATATTAGTAAGTAATTAAGACGTTATAACGCTTTCAGGTTTGTGGATGCTCTATATTCCAAATCTTAGGAAATGTCAAGAATTTTAGTGATGTACTATCTGATAAGCAATCTTTTGAATTGGCTCCTTGACAAAACTGAGTATAGGAATTCATTAATAGGTGGTGATTGGATATTTTTAAGTATCTATCTTAAACTCAGGAACACTGAAGCATGCCTGGAGCTCTTACAGAAATCTTTAAGTCTAAGAGTGTGTATGGTAATTCTGAAGTGTCTTCATTTTTATGTTTGCAGTGCACATACCCTGTATGGTTTCTTTCTAAAGATTCTTAATTACATTTATTATCACCTTTTAAGCAGAGTTTAAAAAAGAATAGTGGAAATGGAGTTCTTTAAAATATGTTGTGGTTCAGACTAACATTAGCAATGCTTTCTGAAGAAAGAGTATAATTTAGATTCAGGTATAGTACACTAAGAAAAGGGAGGGGGTGTTAATCTTTTTTTCTGAACTACAGACTACTACTTCATGCAATTTTCATTGTGTGTGAAACCTAATTCAAGTGAATTGTCAAGTAGTAAGTTTTAAGAAAAAAAATCTAGGGAACTTGACGTTTTATTGAAGGCTTACTTTGATTTCTTCTCCCTCTTAGTGATTTCGTTTTAAAATGATTTTTTGTATCAGGCAGGTGTAATTTAATTTTTGGCATGTGATCCTTAAGAAAAGTGTTTTAAGTTTGGTGGTTTGTTGTTTTTTGTGTTTTTTTTTTCTTTCCCAGAATGAAAACTCAGCTTGACCTGATGAATATAGCATCCAGCTATGAAAAACCACCTGACTATACTCAGAAGAAGATGGATATCAAACCTGTGGTTAATGAAATCTTGGCTTTGAAGTTAATGCCTGTTAGTGTAGGCATTGTTAAAGGTAGGGAAGAGAGACTTAATATAGGACGAGATTCGGGAAGTGACTCTAGGAACCTGTAACTTGTGGAACTAATTGCTAATAGACAATCTGTGTGGCAAAACCATGCGAGTGTTCAGAAAGCAACCGAGGAAATTAATGAATTATCAATTCATCAAGGGCTTTTAAATGCATTTGATGAATGTGCTTTCTCTACAAAGTCCCTACTCTGAATTTTAGGGAACTAGGGAAAGTATCATTATAATTTTCCTCTAAAACCAGTATCATCACTGTTGGAAGTGTGTTGCTGAACTAGATGGGCATTTGTTGTAGTGTAATATGAACATTACGCTCTGATTAAACGCTTTTACCCCATAGGAGAAAATGTTAGGTTTTGTATCAAGGCAGGCGTCTCCAGGTGTTTAGAAAACTTCTTCTGCAGGCGTCTTGCTTTATATTGCATAAGTTTTGACAAGCACTAAGGCCTCACTTGGGGCAATATATGCTTGTTCTTAATTGGAATCTATGTTTAGATGCTCAGGAACCTTTCAGTGTTTTCCATACTTAATATGCTCTCCATCAGTATTCTTGTATTCTTTCTAATAGATCTACCTTCTGGAGGAGATGAGAACTCAACAAAAAATACTCTGTTTAAAAATAACATAAAGCAATGGCAAGACCAGCAGAATATACCTAACACATTTCTTGTAAGTTATTGACTGTGGGGCTACAGCAGTGTACTACTTAGTTCATTTTAATAAGACAAAATAAACAATAATGTCTCCTGCAAAACATTTTTCAGCCTGTAGCAGGACAGGAGGAAGCATTAGCAGATGGTAGCAGGATCTGTACTCGCTTAATGTCAGTA